CGGATGCTAGTGGTCACGGAATCGGAGCCGTGTTAGCCCAGCGCCAACGGGGACACGACCGAGTTGTCGCCTACGCTAGCCGCCTCCTCACAGCTGCTGAGCGCAACTATTCTATTACGGAGCGTGAATGTCTTGCTCTTGTTTGGGCAGTCTCGAAGTTCCGCCCATATTTATATGACACTAATTTCTCTGTGATAACTGACCATCATGCGCTATGTTAGCTTACGTCACTGAAGGATCCTACTGACCGGCTCGGGCGCTGGGCTCTGCGACTCCAAGAGTATACCTTTACGGTGACGTACAAGTCCGAACGCCTATATCAGGACGCAGACTGCCTGTCGCGCTACCCGGTCGCTGAGTCGAGCACTATGCATGACACTGACACGGAGCCTTGCGTCTTTTCCCTTTCGCAAATGACATGCATCGGTGACGAGCAGCGCTATGATGCGTCCTTGCGTGCTATCGTTGAGCGCCTCGAATCACCATCTTCCAGTCAGTCCGATCGCTCATTTGTGCTCCACGATGGTGTATTATACCGCCAAAGTTTTGAGCCAGATGGGCCGGCTCTGCTGCCTGTCATTCCGAAACACCTTCGCTCGGAAGTTCTACATGAACTTCATGACCTTCCGACTGCTGGTCACCTTGGTGTGTCACGCACTTACGACCGAATACGTCGACGCTTCTACTGGCTAGGGCTTGCACGCTCAGTCAGAAGATACGTTGCGGCTTGTGAGAAATGTCAGCGCCGCAAAACGCCATCGACACTTCCCGCCGGACGCCTTCAACCACTTGACATTCCGTCAGAACCGTTCTTCCGCGTCGGCTTGGACCTACTTGGCCCTTTTCCCTTGTCTTCCTCGGGTAACAAGTGGATAGCCGTGGCCACCGACTAAGCCACGCGTTATGCCATCACACGAGCTCTCCCAACAAGCTGCGCCACAGATGTCGCCGACTTCCTCCTCAAGGACGTGATTTTGCAACACAAAGCCCCACGGCAGCTGCTTACAGACCGTGGCCGCACCTTTTTGTCGAAGGTCATAGCCAACATCTTGCAGGCCTGTAAAACGAGACACAAGCTGACTACGTCATACCACCCGCAAACCAATGGACTCACGGAGCGCCTAAATCGAACTCTTACAGACATTCTCGCTAAGTATGTTTCTACCAACCACACCGACTGGGATCTCGCGTTGCCGTACGTCACATTTGCCTACAATTCTTCGCGCCATGACACTGCCGGTTACTCTCCATTTTTTTCTGCTGTTTGGCCGAGAACTAACATTGCCTCTAGACACCGTCATACTGTCCCCTGGAGTACCGACCAGTGAATATGCCATGGACGCGATCGCTCGGGCCGCTCCCGCACGCGAAATCACCCGTACTCGCCTTCTTACCTCTCAAGAGAAGCAACGGCACTTGTATGACCAACGACACCGCGGCGTACTTTCCGCCCGGTTCTTTGGTACTGCTCTGGTCTCCGACCCGTCAAGTTGGCTTGTCAGAAAAACTGCTTACTCGCTACACAGGCCCATACCGAGTCCTTCGTGTCGTTACACCTGTAACATATAAAATTGGTCCTACCACCCCGTTGCCTTCATGTGCCCAACAGGCTACCGATATTGTACATGTTGCGCGCTTGAAGCCCTACAACTCTCCTAGTGACGTTGACATCTAAATGCGCCGAGACGGCGCTTGCGCTGCCGGGGGTTATGCTACATGCATGTATATTGATATTCTAGGGGGCGACGCGTGTGTGTGCCTGACGAGGAAGACGAAGAGTTGTCTCAGCTCGATCGCTGGTGAACCGGGCACGCCATTACCGCTGGTTTTGAATATATCTAATCCCCAGCCTCGTCGTTACGGCGTCTCTTCTTTTCGGTAACAATATTTGAAGTTCATGACATCAGGCGAGGAGATATCGCCACGGGTGACGTCACGAATCTCAAACGGTATTTCGGCACGAAATTTGAAAATAAAACGTCGACCTTGATTTTTTCATTATAAGCATATGATTCCTGGAGCAGAAACCTAGAGACCTACAAAGAGGGTTCAGCTTAAATTGAGGACGACGCAGCGAGCAATGGAAATAAAAATGGTAGGTGTAACCTTAAGAGACAGATAGAGAGCAGAGTGGATTAGGGAACAAACGGGGGTTAAGGATATCATAGCTGAAATCAAGAAGAAGAAATGGACATGGGCCGGGCATGTAACGCGTAGACAGGATAACCGCTGGTCGTTAAGGGTAACTAACTGGATTCCCAGAGAAGGGAAGCGGGTTATGGGGAGACAGAAGGTTAGGTGGGCAGATGACATTAAGAAGTTTGCGGGTATAAATTGGCAGCAGCAAGCACAGGACCGGGTTAACTGGCGGAACATGGGAGAGGCCTTTGTCCTGCAGTGGACGTAGTCAGGCTGATGATGATGATTATGATTCCTAATGATGGACAACTAAACGAGATTACGGTTCTCAGAGCACAAGCTATCAATACCATGCCTAATCCCTAACTATGCTTCTCCACAGTAGTACTGCTTAAGCAGAGAAGCCCACCTGGTACAACGGCGAGTGTTGCCAGGCGGTGACGCAGCCCGAAAATTTTTTCGTGGGTGGCGGGGGAGGGGAGTATGTTGGATGAATTAAAGAGAGAAGAAGGATTGAAAGAGGAAGGACAGAGAGGTTGGCCAGTTCTCAGACCGGCTGGCTACCCTGTACTGGGGAAGGGGGTAAGGGGGATAAAAGATGAGAGAAAAGAGACGTTGAAAAAAAAAGAGAGAGAAGCTCATCAGACGATCCACGACGCTGCTTACAGTCTGTCTCTAAGACCACTTGCCCGCAGAAAGCGCAACAACGCTCTTAATGCCTTGCGTGCAGAGGACAGTCTCGGCCAGTGTCCTAATACCCTTTCTTCCGACAATTGGCGGTTGTCTAGTCTACCTAAAACTTTCGACAGTTCTTTTCTTGGCACACTGAAGCGAGGACACTCGCAGAGAAGATGGGATAAAGTCTCTGCGCAGCCACAGTCGTCACATGTCGGGCTGCTGGCCATTCCGATTCGAAACGAATAAGCATTCGTAAAGGCCACCCGAATCCACAGACGGCAGAAAAGTGTCTCCTCAGCTCAGGTTATTCCTGATGAAAGACAGAGCTGTAGGTGTGGGTCCAAATTATGAAGGCGGACGTTGGTGAATGCCGGTGAATTCCACTGAGCAAGTGTCAGTTCTCGTGAAAGTGATCGAAGACTTGCAGCGGCGTCCGTCCTTGACAATAATATAGCTGCACAAGGGGCATCATCAAGAGCAAATCGGGCTGCTTCATCTGCACGGTCGTTTCCATCAATGCTGCAGTGGCCTGGTATCCATTGATACACTATGTCATGTTGTTTCTCTATAGCCCGGTGATGAAGCAGTCGTACTTCAGCAATTAGCTGTTCGTTTGGTCCATGACGATATGGCGAGGCAATTCCCTGGAGGGCTGCTTTGGAGTCAGAGAAGATTGACCACGTCTGTTGCGGTTCTTCAACTAGGAACTCCAGAGCGGCACGAATGGCGGCGAGTTCTACCACCGTCGATGATGTCAGATGCAAGGCCCTAAACTTTATCCTGATGGATTTCTCCGGAATTACCACTGCGCCTGTTGAACTTGTTGAAGTGACCAACCCATCCGAGTAAATGTGAATGCGTCCACTGTGAATTAAAGAACTTTATTAAAGTCCAATAGGTCGCACTAGTGTCCGAGCCTGAAGCGGGCAGGTGTCCAACCATATTTTATTATGTATCTTGGTGCACACGTTTGTATGCTGTCATGTTTGTATGTTTGTGCACATGTTTGGATGATCTTTATCGTGATGAATTTCTTCGGAATTACCACTGCGCCTGTTGAACTTGTTCAAGTGACCGACCCATACGTGTAAATGTGAATGCGTCCACTGTGAATTAAAGAACTTTATTAAAGTCCACTAGGTCGCACTAGTGTCCAAGCCCGAAGCGGGCAGGTGTCCAACCATATTTTATTATATATGTTTGTGCATATGTTTGTATGCATGCGGGTACATATACCATACAAAATGTATAAGAATTTCAGGGAGATGGTTTAAACGCTAAACTTCGCCACCCGTGTAACCACACGGTGCCTATTCTTGATGATGATGATGATGACGCTCCTGGGATAATTGTTTTCCATGACTCGTCCCACCTTCTTTTCTCTCCTTATTTCAATACAATCGTTTCGTTTCACAGTCTATGCCCGAGTATGCAAGTATTCGTAGGCTGCTGTTGCCAAGACTGTTCCCATGGTCATAGGCCCAGTCAAGGTTGTCATTAAGCAGACTTGAATAGCAGCCAGAACTTCAGTTAGAAGTGCCCAAAAGTAGCCAAACAAATTTTAGCACTAAATTTGTTGCCAAAGAAAGTATCAGAAGTGATACCAATTACAAATGAATTTCTTTATGATTGAACATGCAATACTATAATTGTGACTACTCAAAAACCTAAAAGCACATTTCCTCTGCTTTTGCTTGGTCTTCAATTGACATTTAAGATTCAAATAAATGAATGAATCATAAATACAGGGAGCTTTCACAATACTTTGTGCAGCCGAGTGCTAAAGGCCGCCTGTGTCAACCAAGCTTTTGAGTTCGACTCGTAAGTGACGGGCAGAGTAGTGATACCCTTGAAACAACGAGGATTTTTCAATTTTCAATTTTTATTTTCTTATTTTTATAATCAGCAGCTTTAATTTGTCGCTGCTGGACATGTTGGCTCCTACTAAGACAGTCGTTTTTTGATAGATTTCGACCGCAGGAGGTTATAAAAAAGAGCTGTTGCATCTTTGCATCTATGTTGTAGAATTCGCCAACTTTGAATTAGTGCAATACTTTGCGAGAGCTGTTGCCAGAGTAAGCTTGAAATTTAAGTATCCTGTGTTCCCGGTTGCCAAGAATAGAAAGGAGCATAAAGTACTACAAACAAAACATTTATTAGCAGAGTCAACGATGTTGCAGTTAGAAATGTTATCTATATAGACTTTATTTTATATATTAAAAACTGACCAGTGTTCTGTTCAAATACTGATGACCACTGAAAACAAGACAGTGATGGCCTTCATACTAATATCCAGTATCAAAAGAAAATGTATGGAGTAGCGGCTCTCCTGCCAGGAACTTTTCAAAGTTGATCATAAAGCTCTTGACCACCTGCAATATACAGAATCACAATAAAATATCGAAGTGCTGGTTGAAAGAAAATAATTACTTTTTGTACACGGATGAAGTTATTTAAACAGGTGATAGTTAAAGATCTAGAGACGAATATGTACATATATTCATCAAAATCTGGAAAATCCTCATATATGTATAACCTGACATCGAAATACAGTAAGCTGTCAGTAAACGGAACTTCAAGGGATCAAAAAATTAGTTGCATTTGATAGGAGTTCCGTTTACTGAGAGAGATGTGAAAAAGTGCCAATTTGTGTGTGCAAACTCTCTTAATACCATTTTATGTGTGCCTAAGCAGTGTGAAGAAAATGTAGCTGATGGGTTATTAGAAAACAAAAAACTATGCAAGGTTTTCACATGGCATTCACGAGTTTACTGGTCAACACCAGTCGCTGTGCACTGAAAAATCCATCAATTTTTTTTCCTGTTTGAGTCTTTGCATGTGCATCTCCAGAATTTTTCTTTCTCCATAGCACTTAAGCTTCAGACAAACAATTCTAACCCAGGTCCCTTCTGGAAAAAATTTCCCAAGTACGGCATAATGACTTAGCTCCCTGAAGTATGGCAACTACTACGGTGCTTTCCTCGTCAGCGTTCTCTTCCAGTTCATCCTCCTCTTCACTACACGTATCTTCAGCAATGCCTTGCACTGTGTTGTAAGTGCAAGTTGCAACATTGCTGTCAACATGCACGTACTTGTCAAATGGGATATCCCTTAAATCACGCTGCTTGATCACCTCCTGCTTTTCAAGCACATCTTCGCTGTCAGACCCAGGCAAATCTTCCAAGTTAGATGCCTGGTAGCTTAAAAATCCTGCATGCCTGAAGCAATTTGCTACAGCATGAGGAGTGAGCTATCTCCAGGCGTTCGCAATAAGTTGAATGGCGCCAAGAATGTCCACTTTGTATTCCTTCTCCTGGTTCATGCATAACAGCATTCTTTGTAGGAGACCCTTGCAGAAGTGGGCCTTAAGGGCTCCCTGAACAACTCCCTGATCCTTGGGCTGCAACAGTGCTGTGGTGTTGGCTGGGAGGAATTCCAACTGAATCGACTTCAGTCCTGTCTCAGTCTCATATCCAGGGCAGTTATCAACAAGCAAAAGAGCTTTCCTATTCTGTCACGAAAATCGCACATCTTTTGTGTGCAGCCGAGTGCTAAAGGCCGCCTGTGTCAACGAAGCTTTTGAGTTCGACTCGTAAGTGACGGGCAGAGTAGTGATACCCTTGAAACAACGAGGATTTTGCAATTTTTAATTTTTAATTTCTTATTTTTATAATCAGCAGCTTTAATTTGTCGCTGCTGGACATGTTGGCTCCTACTAAGACAGTTGTTTTTTGATAGATTTCGACCGCAGGAGCTTATAAAAAAGCGCTGTTGCATCTATGTTATAGAATTCGCCAACTTTGAATTAGTGCATGATTTTTGGCAGCCGTTCTGCCCGCCAGTTGCGACATGCGGTTGCACCAGCTGCGGCAGTTTCTACTGCAATGGTGCAGAAAAGGATGCCATTTTTCTCTTTAAACCTCGCCAGGCAGCCTTCACGACACAAAAGTCCGTTATATCGAGCTGAAGAACGAACTCTTCAGCGTTAGCCTGGATTAAAGACCATTGATAGGAATGTTCTGGCTACAAACTCTTCTAAGCCGTAACACGAGACACCTCTCCAGTCCTTTATGGTTACCGCGTCGCAGACGTTTCCTTTGGGGCCCAAATTGTGAACTTTTGAAGGTACCCTGTAGCTTGTTCTTGTTATAAAGAATCCTGGTTAAGCTGCTCTTCGAGGTGCCATGCTTCGTTGTGAGCGCTGACTTCGAGTAGGAGCTGCTTTCGAAGTTGACAATGATGTACATCTTCTTTTCTAACGTCAGCGAATGGTGTGCGTGCTTCTGTGCAGTCATTGATACAGCAATGGCAAGGCCTCCACTTCGCAAACACACTGGTTGATGCATCAAGGATAGATCGTGGGAGCACGAGCAATAATAATTTGTTTTTCTTCACCTATGCATAGTAGGACTTGTGCCTGTGAGCCAGTGCCGACTTGTATTCGAATTCTGAGAAGAATGAGAAGGCACTTGCCAGAAAGCTCGTAATACTTTATGGCATTTCAAAAAAAGAGAGCAACTGTATCAAAAACACATCTGTTGTGGTGTGCAGAAAGAAAAAAAAGAGTTCTTGGAAAGATGCTGGTAATCTGTATTTGTCTTGTTATTATGATCTTGATTGATGAGTAGCAGTCACGGGTGGTGCTCCTGTATGTGGTAACTTGACAGTGTATACATATATGTAGGAAAGCTTTACTTAAAAAACCTTAGTAGTGAGTAGTGTTTGTCCTGCACTTCTGCGTTATTTCTTCTTGGTCCCGAGTCGAATCTGCGCTAACCAATATTTCACACATTTAATAATGGTTTTGTGCAATTCTAAAATTTTCTTCGAAATTGCCCTTGCCAAACAGGGCCCCTGAAAAATTTAATTTTTGCTCAGCTCTTCATCGCTTGGGCCCTTCCATTTACATAATTTTTTTATTTAGCAAATTCATTTAATATATAAGTCAGAAAAACAAAGCATACATGAGATGCCGTTGGCTAAGTCTTTGGCTGTTACATCGAACTCAAGAAAGTGTAGCACGAATCATCAAACAGTAAAGGGCGGTGTATGCAACATCAAAGCTACTCACTCGTGGGTAGGCAACTTGGATTGTACTAGGAATATATGGGCCTTTCAAACAAGATAAGATATCCTCTTAATCTCGGCATATTTTCGACATAAAGCAAGTGCTGCAAGATTTTTAATATGGCATTTTAAAAATCTATGACAACTAAACGAGTGCCTCTTTAATGTGACCTAAATCTTAATAAATGGTTCACTTTGTATACTGCCAATGATGGAATGAGTGTAGCCTAAATGACCAATGAAATACTCACCTCTTGTGGCCTAGAGGGGCCAGACATGTGGGGCGTGACAATGACCTACAAAGATGAAAAATATGAATGAAATAACCGAAAAGCTTGTAGAAAGCTTAATCCTGACATTAGCGATATTATTTGGGCATAAATGAAGAGAGAAATAAATCGGAGCCAACAGAAAACTTGAAGGACGCTTGGGCTTTGCCCAAGAGTACAATGCGTTAGTGCTTTTGCATCTCCTTCTCAATTGCTAGCCTGGCTTCGGTTCTCAGTGTATGCCTCCACTGCTTTTCAAAGAAACGAACGTCTATTGCATAGCATAGAGCGTTTCAAATTATGTCTTAGAATGCCTTATGTAGGTAAAATTGTGCAGTATCCACTACACCATAATTCTTCTTTTTGTGTATCAGCGAAAGGGCCATTATGCGTCTGTAAGACTACATGCGAACTTAAGCAGCTGCTCACTTTAGTGATGTTTTTGCTGATGACGGTGATTTAATGTGCCTATGAACTTTGTAAAAGGTGGGCCTTTAAAACAGCCACGCATTGTGTAATTCACATGTTCTTACGACTGGCTTGATTCTACGCTTCTTCCCTGAAATATTACATGCATTAAAGAGACCTCTCCCACCACATGACATTCGTGCAGTGTTTTTGTGCAAAGTTTCAAGCAATGGCTTGGCTTTGTGGTAGAATTCCTGCTTGCCTCGCAGAGAGCCTGCGCTTGATTCTGTCCCATACTGAAGATTGTTATTACTTATTTTATTTGCGTCCTTCTTAATTTTGTCTGTTACCGACCACGCTGACTCTTCACTGAGAACCAACGAGGCTGACATTAACATCTCTGTGAGGCGACGTCTTTAATGCTGTGTTAAAAATGTTTCAGCATCCATTGTGCCTCAAACAGCCATACAGTTAGCAAGAAAGTTACAAATGAAGATTGCAAATCACCTGACCAAATTTGCACCAATATGTCATTTATATGAGAGCACATTTGAAATGACTCATAAATGTAATTAATACCCACAAAAACTTGACTGTACTGAGTTGCACAGACAAAACAATAAAAAAATGGGAGGGGGGAGTCAAAAAGGGAAAGGATGGGCAGATCTGCTGCTACTGTAATAGTGGGACAAATAGCAGTTGTCATTCCCACGGGCCACCGAAGGTGTGGACACCCGTGGTGGTCCGTAGCCCCTCAATCACCATTCACAGGATTCTTTAGTGACTAGTGTGAATGGCACCTTAACACACCTTCTCTACATCCGATTGCATAGGCTTATTTAACTCGCTAAGTGGCCCTAGCTTTGTGTCTGACAGAGATGTGCAGCCCACTCTGTGATTTACATACCAGGGCGGCACATGCAGCTAGCTTATGAAAACCTGAAGGCCACCAGCTATTTTAGCTTGCCCACACTTTTTACCTGCCACGAATCACATGGAAAATAAGATGCGCAAACAGTATGCAGCACTATGCATCACATTAGCTAAACAAGGCGATGTACAGTGACCTGTAATCTCAATGTCCTCTTATGTGAGCACTAACAGTAAATGTGTGCGAGGTAAGCGCCACCCTGTCACACACGGTGTACTGTCTACAGTGCAGCACGTTCATGCTCAAGGGCGCTCACTAACGTGGAAAACATGGCCGCTTTCGTGCAGGTTTTTCCATTTATTCATGGTGCCATCGCGAAATAATGTCCTCCTACGGTATCCTTTAATCCTGCTCGAAACACTAACACGCCAGCCACAGGCACTTGCACCACCACAGCAATCAAGGCCATAAGGGGCTGCTGTCTGCTAAGAGTGTCAACGTAGCGAGCCCTCTGCACCACAAGTGGCGCTGCACGTGGCTTTCAAGGCACCCGTTATAAGTCCCAAATAGAGTGTATGGTACATCACAGCTTGAGAACTCCGACAGTGCAAGGGTTAAATAGCGATTTAAGACTGCATACCAAATAAGGGTGAAACCTCTTGATTTACTGATTAAAAAGAAAGTGGAGCATTTAACCAGGAATGAAAATACAACCAGTCAGAACTCAACAATATCTTGCCTATCGACAATAAAATGAAGTGACATTACACTTACGTCGGGAGTTGACCAGAGAGGACTTGATCGAGGCAGTGGCTCAACTTCAAAGACATCAAGCATGGCCCCCGAGATCCACTTCTCCCTACAAGATACGGATTCAGTGAGTCAGCATACAACATACCAAATGTATGCCGTCTTGTTGCCATCTATCGAAATATGTCATCAGGCAATTTAGAGGTTAGGTTACGTTACAGAAATGATCACTTTCTCTGTGAGCCTTATGAAGAGATCACATTCAAAGACATCAAGCATGGCCCCCGAGATACACTTCTCCCTACAAGGTACGGATTCAGTGAGTCAGCATACAACATACCAAATGTATGCCGTCTTGTTGCCATCTATCGAAATATGTCATCAGGCAATTTAGAGGTTAGATAGGTTACGTTACAGAAATGATCACTTTCTCTGTGAGCCTTATGAAGAGATCACATTCAAAGACATCAAAGCATGGCCCCCGAGATCCACTTCTCCCTACAAGATACGGATTCAGTGAGTCAGCATACAACATACCAAATGTATGCCGTCTTGTTGCCATCTATCGAAATATGTCATCAGGAAATTTAGAGGTTAGATAGGTTACGTTACAGAAATGATCACTTTCTCTGTGAGCCTTATAAAGAGATCACGTTAATTTAGCATAGACTTTGCACAAGTGACTGCATATTCCTGCAGATTCTCGTAAAGTGGGCACATGTGACATCTGTGGAATCATTCTCTGGCACGTACGAAAAAAGCAGAATCAGCCGAGGAACACTTTCTTATTGAAGAGGTACTAACAAGAATATTTTCAGTTGCCGTTTTCTCGCATCAAATGAAAAGCCACGCCCTTAAAGGCCCAGACAATGTGCTGCTAAGCGTGAGTGCACCTTGAAAACAAAATTACAGAATGTTATTGAAAGATAGTTTTGGTTCCTACTGCACTCTGAAGTCACAATATGGTATGAGTTTCTTGTCACCTGCTCACCCAAATAATCATGACATTTCCACGGCTTTCCGGCACCATGGCACCATCGGTGATGCAAGAGTGGTCATTTTGGAAGTTTTTATACCTGACATCACAACTTAGCCAGACTGCAGTGTGAAGTTACCAGAATTAGCACTGTGGCCTGACATTAAGCTAGTGTTGACGTCGGTAAGTGTACTATGGAAAAACTGCCTTTAATATAAACATAAAACATCTTAACACCCTTTCCTAGGCTTCGCACGTGCTAATAGCAGTCTCTACCAAGGAGATTTGTATGGCAGAGTAAACCTGCCTTCGAAAAGTGGCATCCGTACCCCTTTAGGAAAACTACAGTATAACATTTGTTATGTAATTCCTCAATGACACCTGGTTTTACAGCATACCAGAGGAGTCGCCGCTGATTCCCATGGAGAAAATGCATTGGGACACCAGACTACAAATCTCTCATTTCATATGATAGCAAGAATGTGCGATGAAGTGCTGCCCTTAATTGGCTTTCTGCATTCATTGTCTCTGTTGTTTTCGCTGCCGTATCATAATTTCCCTTCCGCTTTTCGCCTTGCAGAACAGTCACCCATGCCGTCCACATTCTCTCTGACACTGACTACCAGCACATGCTCCTCCATGTTTCATTTTAAGCTGTGCTAACTCCCTTTGCCGGTGTCCTTCTAGGTTATATTAGTCATGATCAGAGCGAACAGTGCGTCGAGTGCCAAGAAAAGCTACAACACAAGATGTCACAGAAATTAACAGCACTAGCACTCAGAGACAAGAAAATAAATAGTGAAGCAGTGGAGACGTAGCACAGAGCTACGAAAGCCAGTGTCACTGGAGATGCTCCAATCTTTTTAAGCCTTCATAATGAAGAGGCTTAACACAATGAATGTGCGAAAGAATTACCCCACTGTAATAGAAAACAACTCGTTTTGTAGAATACTTAAGATGCAGATGGTTTTCACCAAACTGACGAGGCTGCTTGCAGGTTTCGAATAACATTTCATTAAAACAGTGGAAGAAAGACACACACAATGAGAACAAAGTAAACACCGAAAAATAAAAACTAACAAAAGTTTCTGAATTGTGAAGAAACATCAATCTCAGCTGACACAGCCTCAATGATTGGCAAGTGGAACGCTCTTGACAATGCGAGGAGACTAGCAACACATGAAGCGTTGACAAGAAAAGCTACTGCTTGTAGAGGTTGGGGTGGGATGTGGCGTCTTGCCAAAGCAAAGCATCAAATGCAGAGGATGTCAGTGGCCATGTGAAGCCCGTAGCTCCAACTCGTGGATTACATCCAACAGCATCAACATTTGGACAAGGTCACCTGACTACTTTGAATGCCCAAGACCATCTGTCCGCTCTTTCCTTCTCCATGCACATGACTCTTTTTAAATGCGAAACATTTCTTAGTGAACTTCCGTGACTTTGAGCGTATCTATCTGTCTGTCTGTCTGTCTGTCTGTCTGTCTGTCTGTCTGTCTGTCTGTCTGTCTGTCTGTCTGTCTGTCCATCCGTCTGTCTGTCCATCCGTCTGTCTGTCCGTCCGTCTGTCTGTCTAGCCGCTTACGACATTTAGCTCTCCTGGCCGTTTCGATAATGGTATCAATATCAAACTTGGTTTGCCATAATATGAATGTATGACGAACATAAGTGACTGGTTATAACATGAAAATCATGACATGTATGTCATGAATGTTATGAGTTACATTTCATGGTCTTGCTGCTCTTGCGGTGATTTTGTTCACATGACAAGTTGCAAAACTGGTATGGTAGGACACAACTGCATAGGGAACACAAGTGACAGATCCTAACAAAAAAATCATGACATGCGTGTCATGTAACATGACTACATGCCACGCTCATGATTCACTCGCGGCCGTTTCACTAGCTTTACATATACAAAATTTGGAATTACAGGACGTGAATAGATGATGAAGGTATGTGACTAGTGCAAACATGGTAATCATGAGATGCGTGTCATGTAACAACATGACTAAGTGCCACGCTTATGATGCGCTCGCGGCCGTTTCGCTAGCTTCACTTATACCAAATTTGGTATTACGTCACCTGAATGGATGACGAAGGTGCGTGACGTGCAAACATGATAATCAAGTCCATGTTATGTCGCAATGTGACTACAAGCCACGCTCATGATGCGCTGGCGGCTGTTTCGCTAGCTTCACTTATACCAAATTTGGTATTGCGGGATATGAATGGATGACGAAGGTATGATACTGGGCAAAAATTATAAACATGAGATGCGTGTCATGTAACAACATGACTACATACTTTGCTCATGATGCACTCGGGGCCGTTTCCCTAGCTTCACATGCACCAAACTCGGTATTACGCGATGCGAACGGACGACATAGGTAAATGACACATCCAAGCATGATAATCACAACAAGCGTGTGATGTAAAAACATGACTACATGCCACACTCATGATGCGCTCGCAGCCGTTTCACTAGCTTCACATATGCCACATTTTGTATTACGTGACCCAAATGGATGACGAAGGTATGTTACTGATGCAAACATGATAATCATGAGATACGTGTCATGTGAGAACATGACTACATGCCACAGTCAAGATGCCAATAGGTTTCGACGTGACACGGTGTGCATGCTCGCCGGCATTCATTCTGTCGCGTCACGCCGGCGTTGCCCCGCCAAGCGTCGGTCCTGCCATATACTCGCAGGCGCGCGCCGCGCTGTGTTGCTTTGAAGCATGCGCGTTTCAGCGCGTCCGGCGTCCCCCCATCACGAAAAGCGGGAGATGCATTGTTGTCTCGGTAACGCATCGGTGCAAAATGCAGCACGTCGCATTTCACGCCGGTTGCCATCAGGCTGTGCCGACGAACGCTGGTCGCGGCTGGCGTCAGACTAGAGTGCTCGCATTTTGCTAATGTAGCGTCGCTGTTCCCAGCGTACGCACGCGTCTATGCTACGTTGGAGTATATTGGGCCCTTCATGATGCGCTCGCGGCCGTTTTGCTAGCTCCACATATACCAAATTTGGTGTTACGTGACGTCAATGGATGATGAATTATATGACTGATGCAAACATGATAATCCAGACATGCGTGTCATGTAAGCACATGACAACATGCCACGCTCATAGCATGCTCACGGCCATTTCGCTAGCTCCACATATACTAAACTTGGTATCACGTGACATGAATAGATGACGAAGGTAAACGACACATCGAGACATGAGAATCATGACACAAAAGTCATGTACGGCATCATTTACCTCCACCTCGTAACGTTGTGCTGATTTTAAAGTGACATATCAACTTTTCTCATTCGTGCTTCGCATATTATCGATTCCCACTGTAAGCGGGTTCTGCCGATTTTTTTTTCTTCCCTATCTCCTTCAACGTGTGTCACGCTCAAGCATATTCGCATAAGCTCCACAGTCATCCCTGTCTTTCTCTTCTCACATGAAATGAAGAAGCTATAGGAATGTTCTAGACGTTGCATCATACGACGAGATGCGAATATAGAAAAGGCAAGAAATGAAGAGACCAGGAAGTGTTTTCGTGTCATCATTTTTTGGAGATAGCTTCCCTCTCATGAAATTTCATGTGGCTTATCAGGCGACACTATCAGGCGAAGCACTTTGTCTTAGCACAATGTAAATACTGCCATGGGTAGCATATTTCCACACTTGTAATGCTGATTCTTGCATCTCATTGTGTTTGAAGAACCATTTTTTTCGGTGCAGTAGAAAAAATTGGCTGAAATTTTCTTGGGATAGAACGTACAGAAATAAACCTCAAACAACACCCAGCATTGAATGTGAAACCAGAACTTTGCACATGAAACCAAAACATCATGCAAAACACCAAAACGACAGCTGACCACTTGCCAGTGACATTACATAAAGTCAATTCTGGCATCAGATTAGCTTGAGTCTATAGCGTAGCTTCGTTGTTTCAATGTGGCCGTGATTGGGGCAGTCTCTGAAGCTTTGGTACCCGTTATTGTTCAGCTTTGACTTTCCCTCGTACACTTCTGCGACCTGTGATGGAAGGCCGCTTATAAAGCCGTGTGCAAGCTGATTTGCAATGGTTGGGCCAATTTCTGTTGTGTGGATGCACTTTGTGGTTGGGGAGACCATAGGACGGAAACGAGGACTCGCTGTCTGTAAGCACTTTAACAGCATATACGCTTTCCCCAATGCGACGTCTTAACATGATGAAGAAAACTGCAGATAAAGCCGATGATAATGACGCGATCAATGTTTTTATAGTCGAAGCCATGATGAAATAGACATTTCCAGGTTCTTTGTTCCAACTCCCGTAACAATTCTAGGAAGCCGCATATATTCACAGAGAGCTAAATGAGTTTCCAGTGATGTTAATGATCTGCCTTCGATAAGTTAAATGTCACACTAATTTGTGAAAAGAGAGAATTTTCTCTATGTTGTTTACACAACCAAATGTATTGCTTTTGATACTTGATAATAAACTATTGCCGTATGATAAAGAAAGTTTGTTCATTTCTATTTTACTAATTCAGAAAAAAAACGTGAAAACAAGTTTTTTTTTTCCGATTGCTCAAAATTCCAGAACTTTCGCATCTCTATTCCACAGCATCAGCAACAATGAGAAATATGTCTTTAAATGTTGCTTTAGATTAACTTGCAGACACTGGTGTGCTTGACTGAAACCTTTAGCTGTAATTTCGTTAGCATTATCAGGGTCAATTTAAGGGAAACTCCACTCTGCTTTACTCGACAGACCACTGTTTCGTTTGAAAAACAAAATGTATATGATATCTGTCCCCAGCGGCGGTGAAGCACTCGAGCGAGGCAGCCTAGATTTGGCCAGCCAGCTCACCACGCCTAGTGGTGTTCGGTGATACCCGGCGCTAAGAGGACTGGACCAACAAGGACTGTCTTCCACGGCTTGCTTCGAAGAGGAATTGCCTCAGGAACGACCATGGTTGCTGTGTGCGAGTTCTTCATCGCTGAATAGCCTAACACGAACCGGGTTTAAGTTCTTGGCCACCTCTCGGGATGCTCACGTCACAGGCTGCCGAATTGAACTTCTGACACTCTCATTATCAGTGCATCTGCTGGCGAGAGACTCTTTTCTTGCTGCTCAGTCAGTGTAGACAATGCCAGTGCATTACTTGCGTCCCAATCATAGCTCAGGTGACACACCTCTCACTTCTGGAATCTTTCAGGCATGCACTCGTGCCAATTTAAACCTGTCGTCTTTTTTGCCAACGATGGGTTCTTACTCGTGACAAGTGTGGGAAAACAGCCAAGTGGATGTGTGATTACTGTGTAAGCCTGTTTATGCATTACTAATGTATTGCAATCATAAAATCTTTTATCATTTTTGTGATCGCCTTTCGGGTAGCAGTACACATGAGGTTCCACCATTGTACAACATTCCACGGCCATAATTCTGGATGGTATGGTAACCTAATTAGCGAAGCTTTCTCGCCACATTATTATGGCCCACTGTAATGAATATCACCTGCAGATACACTAAGTAGACCATAGAATGGACAGAATCGGCGAGCTCACTTTTTACCTCAAATACAAAAATAAGAATACCGTAACAAAGTTACCATCTATTCAACGACCACTCAAACTCACTTCAAGGCATTCAGCAGGCACTCCTCAGCGATGACATTTCCTCGACCAATATTGATGAACACAGGACTCTGGGCAATGAAAAACAAATGTTCATTAAGCATAATGAGGAAACACCAAAAAAGGAATGAAGATTACAATTTTGTGCAATGGAGCAGTGACAATAGCCACAGGCGGACATTTAGTTTTAAATTATGAAGCAGCTCTGGATCTTTTAGATGTTGACTCAAGAACAAAACATTAAAATAGACAAGAAGAGCTTTTCTTCAAGGTATTTATCAGAAGGGGCTTATTTACGATGCAAGAGGTAAAGGTGGCATTTTTGTTAAGTCTGTAGTCAAGGATTCAAGTCTAGAGGTCAAGGATGAGGGTTTTTGTCAAGGGGGAAGGCAGGAAAAGATAGAGGATTCTAAATGAATCTATACAAATTACAATTTCTTGGCTTGCACATGAGCAGTAGGTTATTGCAGATGCACTTACTAGATGAGAAAGCAAGTGCTATGCCACTCAGTAAGAGCAGCAATATGTGAAAAATAGCAACAGCTTCACGCTGCCACTGATATCGAGTGCATTATTACTCCACAAACTTTTGTAGTGTCGGTAAAACATTTCTTTGACTAAGTGTCACTAGACCCGTTTGTAGGGAGGCAGATCGCCGGGCTGATTCCGAGGGTGGCTGATGTATCGGCCCCCCCGAAACACACCACGAATGCGTGGATCATTTAGTGTTGGTCCCTCTGGTGTGCCAGCGAATGCCAGTTGTGGTCCAAAGACCAAGTCAGCACCAAGAGTTGATAACAAAACCAAATATATTCTCAGATAAGGCCGTACGGACAACACACAAACATGTACACTTGGCCTTTATCAAATAAAATACAACTGACAAGTTACTCCCTGTCACACACTTCGGGTGAGGCCCCGCCGATCCAACACCGACGTGCGGCAGACTCGCAGGCTTCCACTTTACGCTTCGGCCTGCGACGCCTGAAAGGCCTCGAAGTGGCACATTTCGAATTTATTTGCGGGTTGGTCGACCCGTGTGGGGTTGCACGTGTGGTGATGTGTGGGCCCGACCGACGCACTCATAGAGCAGACACAGAGTTTGATTACACATAAACAAGCATTTAATTAAAACAGGGGCAAAGGCAGGAGATTACAAAAATAACAAAGGAGGAAAACTGATACGCGCGATAGAAACAACAGCGATATAACAAAATGTGCTAAAAACACTACAACAGATACAGGCTAAAGACAAATATGTGCAATGTTAATAAAATAACGACAAAATGGAAATCAGAAAGGAGAGGGATACAAGAAAATAATTACAGAATGATCATGGTAGCGCTTTTGAATTTCAACGTGCGACGCAGCGCACCCTACCAATATTAAAAACAAAGGCTGGTTAAAACAATTTAGCAGTTTAAAAAAAAAAAACTACAATAAAAAGTTCCATACGGACCAGGCCAGCTCTTGGTGCACGTAGGGGAGTTGACGGGTGCCGCTGAAGGTCTCGCCGGCTTGGTAGACGACGAGGGTGCCCGGAATTGCAGCCGTCTCAATACGTTGCGCGGGTCACTCCATGCTCGCCGCCTACGCGAGAATCGCGACACCAACGACCGCACTTGTTGCTGGCTGTACGTCAACTGCCTTTTCCGATGCAGTCCAAACTTTTTCAGAGGCGTACACGTGCTCCCGTCCCATCTGGGGGTAATTTTGCTTGTTTCAACCGCTGGTGCCCCTTTCGGTACAGGTGCAGGGTAGACGAGCCGGCACCACGCTGGGTCGTTAGTCGCCGGATGTCGTCCCCCAACACAAAAGCGCCCTTCCTTGGTAGGTGGGGCCCGCGGATGCTCCGAAAATTGGAGTCGTTTGTGACACTCCCATACGTTGGAAACAACAGGCACAACTCGCACTACTATGCAATCTCATGCATTAACTATCCGAGACACGTATAGACCAGAATGTTCGTCAAACGTATCCAGTCCGAAGATCTCAGAACTAATCTTGAATGCTTCTCTTTTAGGAATCACCCACACTAAATACAGTACTGGTTGTCGTCCTGCTTGTCCAACGTTTCTCTTGCAAGAAACGCTCTTCAAAACTTGCCCACTCACGGTGTGGTCATTCGATTTTTCCAAATCAACTGACCACATTTCAACATCCAAGCTTCTTCCCTGACATCCCCATTGGCCACTCGCACACTGTCACTGCAGGAGAAGCCTTCACACGCTGGCGGAATCGAACACCGACTTCCTCTTCTTTTCGCCTCCCTCTGCCGCTTGCTTACATCCGCCCGCCACGGTCTTCTTGAAGCTTCCAGGCTTTTCCTCGCTTCGCAGCACAGCCAAAGCTGGGGAAAAGGCGAGATATTTTTCGTGGTTTTCACGCCCCGTGTCGCAACTCCGCAGTGCATGCCTCTTTCCTTGAGGATGGTTCCTGAATTTGCCTGGCGTTTGATCCGAGAGTGTTGTCGGAGGGCGGCGGCCGTTTCGAGAAGAGAGGAGGTGCGCGTGTGGCGTCTTTTGATGCTTGTTTTTTCTCTTGCGCATGCTTTGTCTAGAAGAACCGGGGCCTGGATTTCCCGCAGTTGTTAGAAATCGAAGGCACATGCTTTCTTGAGTACTCGTTTGTGACACTGAGTTGCTCAAAACCGGAATGTGTAGGAGCCAGTGGCATCAACAGTGCATCATGAAATGCCACTGCAACCATTGATTCACTACTACAGAAGGCTCAGTGCAATGCCAAGAAGCAGACAGCCACTGAGAGCTTGAAACAGGCTCAGCAAAGCTGCAAGCAGTGCCGCAAAGCATCAGATTTGAATGTAATCAGAACAAAACAACAAAGGATTACCTTGGCACAGTTGGCAACACTTCCACAATATCAGCAGTGACCCTTCCGTAAAGAAATCTTTATTTGTTCTTGTGAACCAGGCTCTCCCACTTTTGATGTATGAGGATGTGTTACGGTTAAGCATCGCTGCAGTCAACTGTCGTGCCTTCATCGTGGCTTTAAGGAAATTGCTGGTGCTTATTTGAAGACACTGGCCATAGTGTGCTTCGCATCGGAAAGAAGCTTTCTTTTCAGACTTCCCAAGTTGTTGACATAGGCTTGGGCGAAGCTGGTCCTATAAGCATGACCTGGAAGGGATGCAACGATCCTCCACCATTGTAGCGCACAAAGAAGCAAGAGCCAGGTTCATCAACTATGACACTGCATAGGGAATGGATTTGGGAAAGGTTGGCGACAAACCAGGATGCAGCACTGTGCAACAATCACGAGACTGCAGGCTGCGCGTAATACCTCCTCAAGATCAATTGAGTACACTTGCCTGCAGCGTTGTGGCTATCCCACAAAGCGAGCTGCTGAGCGCACAAACAAAAGTCACCCGCTAAGCCAGTGCGTGAACTTCTCATTGCAGGCCAGAGAACCAAGCGCCAGACAGCTAGGCAAAAGCTTGTGGAGAATAAGCTTGACTGGCATCCAATGGGGATCAGATGAAACTACAGAGGAGGGCACTCCAGTACATCAGCATTTGACTAATCGTATCTTCAGCTGAGCTGCACTGACACAGTGGTGGTGGAAGGAGAGTTGCATCAAACACCGCCCCAGTTTTGCACCCCGCTGTGAGCTAGACAAATGCGTGAACTACAAAACTCGAATCTGCGATAGCAGCGTCGTCTATGAGAGATGCCATTCAACAGACAATTTACAGCACCCTGTTTGTAGAGACGTTTGTGAGACACTATGTCTCCATGGCTGTACATCCATTCACCACGCGGTTCTGCTGAGTTATTGTACCAACTCTACGAGGGTTAAGGTAATTTTAGCATTGGATTCAGTCTCCAGTGAAATCCCAGCTCCAAAAGTAACCTTGTGCGAGCATGGCTGGACGACGTAAGCTCACGTACATTTTCCCTCCCGTTCAGCCGTATTCTGTAGTAGCCAGTTATAAATTATTCTTACACTGACGAAACATCATCGCGCCATCTGCCAGAGCACGCAGGCCGATGGGGTTGCACAACGCTTCGCTGTCAATATCTAGTGTGGCGCGGTAGCGTGCACTCATGTGGTGGCCAGCCCACTCAAGCGTGCAGACCAATGTGTGGCACCGCACGATTGCACAGGTGCCACCAGCCAAAGATGCCCATAGTAGTGTATGCTAGCTTGACATGTAGCTTGTGGCACCTGGGCATCTCAATGCCAGAGAGGGAGAAGCATGGCTTGTGTAGGAAACAAAGCTCGGCACTATGGCCATTTTACCTAGCTCTTCCCTGCAATCACGCCACATGAGACAGGTACAACGCACTAGCTGGGGGACAAGGCACAAGGGGAAGGCATCCTCGATCACCACAAGATATAAGCATTGGCGTTGGTGCGGTGACATGATTGAAATTATCTCTCAGTCATCACATGATACTATGTTTCTGAAAGCATTTACTTTGCATTTCCCTTTATTATCGAGCCAGTTGATAATAAAAAAAACTATGGTCGGCCTTGTCCTTTCCCATCATCATTTCAAATAATGTTAGCAATATTGTGACATACAACTTAAAACCAATCAACAATACAAACAGAAAACTACTAATTGGCTCACCAAAATGAAAACTTGCCAAGGTGACACCATTTGGAAACTGTGCATAGCCAATGAAATGAAAAAAGAATACAAGGGCACATTACATCAGTAGCCTTAGAGGTATACATTCAACTTAAATCAGTGTGACAGGGAGCTGCTTCAAGTTGGCAAATTATGCACATACAACCAGCGATACAGAATTCGACTTTCTGTATTCGCAGTTCTTCAATCAGTGGTGAACTCTGGAAGCTAGATTTCTGAAGGTAGACAGTGTAAACCTGCAGTGGCTTTTGGCAGCCCATAGTAAACATTGATAACAAACTCTTAACTCCAAAGCAATGAGTTGAATTTAACGAACATCATAGTTTATTATTGGCATATGTGCAATTAGTATCGTATTGTTACGATGGGGCGTATTTATTGGCGAGCAAATGGCAAAGGGTAGCAACGCCGACACCGAGCTGCTTCCAAAAATAGACCACTTCGTTCTCTTCCTCG